TCCGTCAGTCACATAATGAATTGCTTCCACACCAGGGATATTTTTCAAAATAAAATCGACAATCAACTGCTGCGCAGAATAGACGAATGCAGTGTCATGCATCATATAATTCGATATGACAGCTGCATTGCAATATCCTCCTTCGAATTTCATGTGAATAGTAAATATTGTCACTTGAAGAGCGTTCCAATGCTTCGATTGTATTTCTCGCTGTACCGGTACGGTATAATTCTCAGCAAAGTCCATACTGACAATCACTGCTTTGGGACCTGGATTTGCTTGAATCTTCTGAATGAAAGGTTTTTGTTGGTGATTAATGTACTGATGTAACAGAAATACTGCCCAACGGTCATTCAATTCAGACAACAGCTCTTCTATTGTCGAAGTAATACGATGAATATCCACCTGAAAAATATTTATTCCAGCGTACAACTGAACGTATAGCATAAAAATACGAACTTTTTTATCTGTTCGTCTCCATATCATATACTCGATTGTATCATCTGTATTTCCAATGAATGATTTTGCTAACACTTCGGAAGGACAAACTTTCCCTAGATGAAACGTCACAAAAGCCATATTCAGTGATTAGTAGTTTATTTACTGCGGAATAATAGAAAATCCGACTTGGTAAAGTACTCATCACATTTAGAACAATCACCGCTTATGCATGAGAAACTGTCTTCGCCACAAACAATCATTTTTATTAAAGTGGAATGAGTAACCACTGATCCAACCACGTTTGACCAAGCCTCAATGCGAAAATTGAGTTGAATCAATGGTCAATTTAGGAAATGATTCGATCTTACTTTGAGTAGGAGAGACATGTTTTCATGGTACATACAAATGCACACATCGTGGGGAGAGGTTTTCTTCACATTTTTGGGTTTTAGCGAATAGAACTTTGACCGACTAATTGCGACTGTTGGATTATCAAAAACGAATTGTTCGTATGCCTCCCCGATTGTCATAAGCATAAACCGCACTGGTGTAGTTTGTTTACTAGCACTCCCATCTGGAGCAGGCATCAGAATGCAATCCTTGGCATTTGGTGACACGCGACTGATTGTATCAGACCCGAAAAAATCAAGCACGCACTCGAGTGTATCACGATCCATGGGTTGGTTTCCTGAACAGTATTCTGGTCGTGATAAAATACCACTTGTAAGCCGAAGTTCAAGTGATTTTCGGGCTTGTCGCTCAGTCGCATTGAAGAAATCTTGGATTTTCTGTCGTCCCCATTCTTCAGGACATATCGTCAGTAATCTTATTTTTTCTATACCATCGTTGTCCAAAAATAGCTTCTTCATACCACCTGTAATAATGCGCAAAATGTGCATTTTTTCGTTTTTAAAAATTCGAATTCTCTTACCAACGAGGTCATCAGCTTCATTCAATGTGATATCTGTAAGATTCGGATGATATGGTGTAGATGTTAACTCCATTGAGTCTACCAATTTTTCTCCAACAGCTCGAATATTGTACATCAGTAAATTTGTTTTCTCTCGTAATGCATCACGATCGCGTCTAAAACAAATGAAATATTACAATCAAGACAAAACGTCGAAACGATCACCTACAAATCTTTCACCGGTGACATCTCAAAGTGATGCAACATAACGTTCAATGAAGATTGCAACCGGCCTGTTTCTTCTTTGGAAATGAGCCGGACATGTTCAGAATCATTTGTGGAAACCGAGTCTGTATTGGATTTGGTTGATGATGAAAAATCTTGGAATACATGTCGTTGGCTTCTCAACTTTCTTGGTGTTGTTGATGATGATGATGCTAAAGGTGCGTCGTCATCATCGTCAGCAGACGAAAACTTTGTTTGCTTATGCAAATAAGTATCTTCATAGAATTCATTCTCATATTCCAGGCAACGACGACATAGGACGTCTTCTGCTGTGAATAATAGTTTGCTTAAACCTTTGCATTTCGAATAGCGTTGTGTCATGTAAACCGCCACCGGTGCAGGAATTTTCCTGTCACCCTTTGGACACGTTGTGGTTCGGCCTGTTCGCATCGAGCGCTGGTGACGAATCGGATGACAACATAAAGGCATTTTCTTAAGCTATATCTGAAAGATACGGAAGCATTTGAAAACTTTTTGACTATGAAATAATTTCCCGCACCAAGGTTCCATATGAGTATAGTTTTGACCCGCTTGTACCCAGAAAAGTTTCGAAACCACCCCTGTCACAAACCGAGTAATTAATAT